TATAATAAGTACAGTACTTAATTCTTAATAATCTTTCTTTAAAACTAACCTTACTACTCCCTATGGGCTCATTTAAAAAAAAAACAAAAAAACAAACAAACAAGGCATCTTATTTCATTGTTATGCTGACGACTCACAGATTTGCCTACCACTGAAAAGTAAATCTGTGAGTCCTCTGAAGGGTTTACTAGATTGTTTGGAGGATGTTAAGGCATGGGTGGTTTTAAACTTTCTTAACTTAAGTGAACAGAAAACAGAAGTCATTGTGTTTGGTCCCTGTGACCACTACGACTTGGGCCCTTTAGAAGTTTATTAAAAAAAAAAACCTTTGCGAGGAACGCAATCTAACGTTTGGTAAACAGATCAATGCTGTAATCAGGACCAGTTTCTTTCCTCTCTGGCTACTTGGAAAAGTGAAGCCACTCCTCTGTTTTAGAGACTTTGAGAGAGCTATCCATGTCTTTATTCAGGTGTCAGTCTGTCATCAGTTAACCGACTGCAGCTGGTCCAAATCACTGCAGCACAGTCACTAAGGCTACGTTCACACTGCAGGCGAAAGTGCATCAAATCCGACTTTTTTGACCCTATGCGACCCATATCCGATCATGCTATGACAGTGTGAACGGCACAAATCCGATATTTTCAAATCGGACCTGGGTCACTTTCGTATGTGGTACTGAATCCGATACATATCCGATGTTTTAGAAACCGACTGCTGTTTGAACGGTCATGTCGCATTAAATCCGTCTTTTACGTCACCAACACAAGACAGACGCCAATTATCAGCATTAAGACCTGCAGTTGCAGGACTACATATCTCTCATACTAGCATCCTTACACTGGCTGCCAGTTAGTTTTTGAATTTATTTTATTGAATTTATATTTACACTCTTGCAAGATCACTGAGGTCTGCTGATCAAATGATCCTAGCTGTCCCGAGGTCCTGATTAAAGCACAGAGGAGACCGGGTCTTCGCTGTGACTGCTCCTATAGTGCGGAACAAACTGCCGCTTCACATCAGGACCTCTCCAACATTAGACACTTTCAAAACCCATCTGAAAACCCACTTTTATTCCTTGGCTTTAAATCAGCGGAGTTTGCACCACTTTTATTTGTCTCATATCTCCTCATTTTATTCTCCGCTTCTTAAATTTTATCATCTCTTCCTATGTTTTTATCTCTTTTGTTTATCTTACATTTACAGAACCTTGGTCAAGAGTTGGTGTTTTAAATGTTCTATATAGATACATTTGACTTTGAGTTTTACTATTATTTACTTTTGGATTTATAATACCTGCCTCCTCGCCTCAGGAGTGTACGCCTTTGGCTTCCTGTCTATGGCCCCTCAGCTCTACATTAACCACAAGGTTTGTGTGGAAGCTAAACAGCAACACTTCAGAAATATTTTCTTTGGCTAAAATTTGTACGTTAAAAATTAAAACAAACCAAACCTCCTCCCCTTCCCTTGTTTGTTCACTTTCTACTGTGGGGCAGCTGAAGTCTGTGAGTCACCTGCAGGGGACAGTGTTGATGTACAGGGTGAGTATTTCTTGAGCTCATTCACAAGCAGCATCAGCAGGTTTCCTTTGTGCTGCGTTTGGTGTTAAAGCGATTGAGTTCGGTCGGCTATCCTCTCTCGTCTCCAACAGGGAGTCAACACGCTGATTTCAGATCTGTGCTCCTGTGCCTCCTTCTTTTCCTCCTCTGGATCCTTCTCTTCCTCGCATCAACTTTCCTGCTTCAGAGATGAGCTTCTCTTCTTTCTCTACCTCTACCAGCGAAGGTACGATGACCCAAAAATAATACCACAGTCCCAAACACACATGGAGCAAAAACACTCACTGGCCTCTTTATTAGTTACGCTTTGCTATTAAGTTGTTTTACCCTGTTTTTCCTTCAGAACTGTCTAAATTCTTTATGGCACAAATTCATTAAGTGCTGGGAACATTAATGTGATATTTCAGTCAATATTGATATGATGGCACCACAGATTTGCTGCAGATATGTCGGCTGCACATCCTTGATGTGAATCTCCCATTCCACCACAACCCAGTATATATATATTGAGTATATTGTAGGTACTCCAGTACAGCTGCTTTGCTGATTGTATGTCACAAATACAGATAATCAACACGACATTCAAATACTACAACAATATGCATACTCATATTCAAGATAATCCCAGTGACTTTAAGTTGTATTATTTTCAAGTACAAGCCATATTGTGACATTTTAGACACTCTTGAGCCTTTCTTCTTTTCTGTTTGTGTAAATCCATACTCAATAATCAATTTGTATTTCCAACATAACAGCAGTACTCTCTTGCTTTTGTCTCACTCATGTCTGCACCAGCCGTTTCGCCTCCAAACCCAGAAAACGAGAGCCCGTCCCTCACACCAAGAAAGTGAAGACTCAGTGAGGAGAGGACAAGCTCATCTTTTCAGAACTCAAAAGATCAGCTCAAAAAAAACAAAACAGAAGTGAACTAATGAGCCTTGGGGATGTAAAACAGAGACACAGGCAGGACACATGCCCAGATGTGTGCCACAGCAGCTCCTGACCGATTCAGACTCTACACTGCTGCATATTCGCGGCGCTGCTGCTGCTTTTTGCTTGGCATTGATGAAGCTTCCCCTTGACTGCTGCTTTGACTCGGCTCCTTCATCTATCAACATCTCTGCTGTACATTTTATGCTGGGTGACCTTTCACAAATGATTTCTGCAGCATCACATCAGCGCTTGTAACGTGGATTTATTTGCCGGATCCTTCTCTTTATACAAACACGAGGGAGCTGGAGTGTTTGGGTACGCTGCGAAGGATTAATCCTTCAACTCGGTGATTCAACAATTAGTCTTTCTGTCACTGAGCTTCACATGATTCACAGTTCAGAAGAATCCTTATGTATCTTGCAGGGACACATTGTCCCACATCAGCTCAATTTTATTCTCAAACAGGTTATTTTAGCCTTTTATCTCTCCTCATTAAAAGCCAACTTTCTGCAGAATGCAGTGCCTGTTAACCCCGCCTCATATGCCATCGGAGAAAGTCCCTGCCAGCTGGGCTGCTAGGAGGCACCAATTCTGGAAACATATTAATCAGACTACATAATGCAGCTTCAATCACAATATGGAAACAATGGGGTAAAATACAGAGAACTGGATCATTTAAACTGCTACACGGTGAGATGTGGACTTCTTTTTGCACATTTTTCAATAAACTGTAAACATTATTTTCCTTATCGACACACAATCTATCTTTATAACAACGATGAGAAGAATCGATCTGCAATGTTTGGCTATTTTTTATTTGAAGCATGATGCTGTGTTTTAGCCACACCCTGGATGCTGATTGGTCTGTGTTAGAGGTCAAGTCCAATGCATCATAGGGCACTCTAAGTCACCTCCAGTGATGCTTCTTTTGTTCATGTTAAATGGCATGAGAGAAAGTCTTCCTATTCACTATCAAGTTGTACATGCAGAGTTAGTTTTCCTGTCAGTTTACTGCAAACCGATTTGAAAAAGACTATCTTTGCCAAATTAGCACATAAAAAGAAATATAAAAGATAAAAGCATACAGCACATCTGCTTCATTAAAAGACGTCTATTCCTTCTCACACGGCACTGTCAGTCCATCTGAAGCTTTTTACTGTGCTCGCAGGCCCGCTGCATTAAACTCAGTGCTGATTTCTGACTGAACTGCTCGAACACAAACATTTACTTCAAAATTGCTGTTTTTTATGTTTTAGTAATGCACTCTGCCTGTTCATTGTTTTGTTTTGTTTCAAATAAACTGGAATTGTAAATGTAAATTGACTGATTAAGCCCTTTAATCGCCACTATCAATGTTACACATACATGCAGTAAAATAGGACCCCTTTCGACCGTACTTACATTGCACAAACATGACGTTGGTAAGACAGGTCAGAGTGAGGAAGGATGGTAAGAAAAACAATGAAATACACAATATATGAGGGAAGAGGAGGGAAAAAAAGAACTCCACCCACACTGAGCTCCTAATGGGAGAGCAGTTTGAGAACAGGAAAAAAAACCCACTCAGCACAATGAACCACATGAATCTTCACACCTTACATTATGAAAAACAAAACACGGGACTGTATATCTGTGTCTGAGTACATGTTGAGTTGTCTTAAACTATAGTTCTCCAGCCCTTCTGAAGCTCTTCACTGCTTCTTTACTCGCCTTCAGTCCAGTTCTTGTTCCTGACCATTTTCAAGCCACTCAACACACGATTATGAACACAGAAAGGTGCCATCAGATTTTGATCCACTATGTAATACCATCTGGAAACCATCTGATTGGCAACATCTTCATTGTTCGTCATGATGATGATTCCAAACAGACTGTTAATGCAGTAAAAACATACCTGATAGAAAAACCCACAGTGAAACACCCGAACTGCAACATCATTGAAGCAGCGTGGAATCATTTTGACAGAGAATAGAACAAAAGGCAGCCAACAGCCAAAGAAGAGCTCTGTAGGTCCTATATTAAGTTTCATCATTATACCTATTAAATGTAAAGAAATCATAGCAGTACTGCATATTTTTAGCTTTATTAAATAAAATCCACAGGAATACTAGTGTACTGTTTTTCCTTAGTGGTAAGAACTGATATGTTTATAGATTAAACTTTGAAAGAGCAGGATTTAGAAGAAAGCCAAACAATTGTGGGTAATGTATTCTGAACGATGCACTATTTCTAAAATTGTGGTTTCAATGTAACCACACCTTCACTCATTAACTTATTAGGAGCTTATATTTACATTAGGTTGTTTCATCCGTTTCTCCTTTTCCATAGTTTGATAGAGGTGATTGTTCGAGAGAAATGAGTTTCCTCTTGGTGAAGGAAAAAAAAGCCAACAAATCCTCAGACTGTACTTAAATTATGCCTGAGCCAGCAGAGACAAAGTTTCACTGCCTGACGTTAAGTTGGTGTCTGTGATTAACAAGAGAAAGAGAAAGAAGATAAACAGAGCAAGTATCTGTGAAACCAGCAAAAACACCAACCCTAACCCACATAGCAACAAACAGTGACTTTTATTAAATGCTTCCTGTTTCATGTAATGATGGTGTTAATGTGGGTGGAACAGTTTCACCACACACACACACACTTTCTGGCACGACAGCTTTAACTGCAGACATTCCAGTCGGGAACAGTTCAACACCAGTTAGGAAGATGCTGCTTGTGCTTGGGATCTTCTTCCTGCTCTTTTCTCCAGGTACGTAATAAACATCTGACTGCTCGAACTGTAGGTCAAAGGTCATGGGAAATTTTTTTTTTCAATGACAGGGTGACAGTTCAGTAAATCTGAAAAATACATATATATACACATATATACTGAAATTACCAGAATGACGAATAACTTACGAGCATGCAGTGATGAGTTTCAAGCCTTCTCCTTATGAAAAACAAGTATCTCACGCTGTCGTTTCCAGACGTCTGTTTTTTCTCCGTCGACAATGTCACCTTTACCCAGAAATAAGAGAAGTTTGTAATCAGGTTGGCCGGCTGTGTTGCTGAAGGACATGTGGTAAATATCAGTGTTAGTCTCCGCTGATTTATCTTGATTAATAATTCACTAGTTTCAGACGTTTAACTCTAATGCCCTTCACCATTTCATTCCCACAGCAGGTTTATGGATTAACACCAGAACCGTACTCAACTGCCCTTCACAGTAACGCCTGATTGACAGAAACATTACTAGTCCTCAAACCAGTAGAAAAAGAAATCTGCCTTTCAATCAAGTTTCAGTATTTGTTGTTCCTCACATCTGCAGCGCTGCCACTGAAGTGCTACGTGTGCAGCTCATCGGCAACCAATGAAGAATGCAACCAGAGTACCCAGGAGTGTAAAACACCTCTCAACACATGCATGACTGTCGTCGACACTTTCGGTAATTTATCTCACAACATCAACGTGCAATCAAGAAACCTGACAGAGGTTTAGTAGCACGTATAAATGAATCTAAACATTCTTCTAAAGTTCCTTTGTGCAGTAGGATTTTTATGAAGGGCACTTACTCATTAAACTCAGTTCTTGGTCAGTCTCAGTGTAGAAACTATAATCCCTGCTGTTTGTCTGTGTGCTGCTCAGATACAGCGACAGCCATAACAAAGCAGTGTGCCAGCCAGGCCACGTGCAGAGGAGCTGCCTCCACCGCCTCAGTCGACTCCAACGGTAACGGGAACGCCGTCAGCTGCTGCAGCAGCTATGACTTGTGTAACTTCAGCAAAGCCGACTCCATCAACAGAAACAACAAACTGCTGCTCCTGACTGTCGGTGTGGGATTTCTGCTGTCACGCTGAGCTCAGTGGGATGCGCAAACCGTACAAACTGCACCGCTACAGTCTCCGCACTACCTGCAATCTTATGCATCTTGTAAATACTGTTTATATTCGAGGCTGTTTAACAAAAAGCTTTTAAAATATCACTGTGTACTCCACATGCACAATTAGATATCGTAGTATTTATAATACTGACAGACAGGGCTAGTTGTTACACGTTAAAGGGTTCAAAAATTGACTTTAGCTTTTAATTCCACAAAAGGTAAAGGCAGTAAGCTTATATTAGCTTATCTGACAGAAATCTGTGGATTTCTGATTTTCCTGGATATTTGATCGTCAAAAATGTCTATTATGGTCAAGAAATGACGGCCCAGTTACAAAAATGAATGAATATAGACATTAGTTGCTTAAAATGCTTATGATTTTCCTTAGTTTACTGTAGTTTCATTTTAATTGAGAGAGAGAGACAGAACAAGAAAATAAATATATTGATTTGCATGTCAGTGAGTGAAAGTATTTGATCCTAAAACATGACTTAGTACTTGATGGAGAAACCCATGTTGGCTGCACAGCGGTAAGGATGTTTCTTGTAGTTGGTCACCAGGTTTGGACACATCTCAGGAGGGATTTTGGTCAGGCGGATGCCTGAGAGCTCATTTTGGTTTCATCTGACCAAAGCTTTTTCTCCCAGGGCTTCTCCGAATCATGTAGATGTTCACATGCACCTTCCAGAGCAGGGATCTTTCAGGTGCTGTAAGATTTCAGCCATTTCCACCATCATATCTCCACTGAAACTTCAGCAGCCCATCCTTAACACTAAAATCCATGCTTGTGCAAGCAACAGCATTGTTGTACAACAGGCTATTATTGTTATATACAGTGCAATGTGTCCTTTCTTATTGTGAGAAAGTCTAATTCTCTTCTTTATGATTTTCTGAATGCTCTTTAAAAACATCTACGCCAACATTAACTTGAAATTATAAATATTAATCCTAAAAGGCACTTTAAATAAATCCCAATCAACTACAAAGTGGACAGACTTATTTCATTTCATAATTATTTTTATTCCATTGTTTTTTTTTTGTTTCCTCCTATTTGACAAGATGGCTTAATTAGCCCAGAAGACAAAATAAATACCAGTGTTTACTAGTACGAGTTCTGTACAATTCACCAGTGATACACACCAGTATAGCTTACAATATACCAACATGAGCAGATTTACGCAACAAGGAAATAAAATAGATTGTTTCATTTGGGGTTTTTTCTCCTCAGTTTTACATTTATTTTATCCCTATAACACCCAGATTGATCGATCTGATAGTTTCGTTGCTGGCTAAACATGGAAATCACATCTGGATAAAACGGGTTTAAAAAATAATAATAATAATAATAATAATAATAAAAAACAAACAAACAAGAAACAAAAAAGGAAACAACTTAGGATGTGTTATTTTGGTGCTGTGCAAATATGCTCTTCTTTATACCAGTATATCATGCTATACCAGTACAGTCACCAGTATATTTCATATAGCAGTATGTGACACTCCACATGGGGTCAGTATTAACAAAGACAAATGTGATTTTCAGTTCAGTGTTTTGTGTCTGAGAAACAAGTTCCAGTCGTGTGGCTCCACATTTCATGTGTTTGGTTCCATGGGGACTATTATTAAGTCGGGGAGGGGGGGAATTTTTAAAGTGTTACACCTGACAAGAGAATTGGAGTCATAAATGTGATATGAGGTTTGCTCATGTCCCGGGGAAATATACTTTAAGTGTCACTAGTGGGTGATCGGACGGTTAATGTAATCTTATATTATGAACGTACGATTCATATTGGGACTATATGTGAGGAGACAAAAAAAAGGAAAAGGAGACACGAACCTCACAAAATTAGCGACCACTCTGAGACGTGTCACTGTCTTCTTCCTCGTGAACCAATCGGAAGCATCCTGCCACTCACGCTGAACACATTTTTTCCAATTCTTTTTTTTTTTTTTTACACAGCAGTCAATTGCTGGGGTTGAAAGTTCAACATTTTTCAGTATAGAGGACGAAGATTCCTCAAAACAACACAAAAAACATGGAGCTGATCGATAAAAAGAGCAGACTGAACTGAGTGCGAGTAGGGGAGGTTTCTGTCTGCGGTGATTACCCGCACAGAGCTGGACTCTTCACATTTGGAGTCTTTAAAAGTGGCTCAGAGAGGAGCTGAGGAAGACTGTGGGAGTAGTGGAGCGGTAAGGGTGAAGGAAAGGAAAAGTGAGTGAAATAGAGAGAAGAGGGGAGGAGAGTGTTTTCTTTCCTCAGGCAGTAGAGTGGTGCTAGACTGTCCTCGAGGCGTATTCTGCTTTTTTATGTTCCTGCCTCTGTCTCCTCCTCTGCAATTTGAGTCTATAAATAAAACACGGTGAGATGGAGGAAACAGAGAAAGAGAGATGGTAGGAGGCATGACGAGTCGGAGAAGACCAAACCGAGACTGTTGTTACTGTACCACCCCAGGCACCAAAAAAACAAAACATAACAAACATGTGATGTGTATGGCGATGTAGAGATATTTGATTGGAGAAAGGAGCTCCCATTCAGGAATCGGAACGTCAGCAAACGGGGGCGGCCGACGTCTAAGATCCCACAGTGAAGTTTCATGCAGATATGTTGCAGATCGGGTTGCAATCCGCCCGATCTCACCAGCTTTCATGATAGCGTTTCTGTCGGAAGTTTTGAATCCATTTAAAACTCTAACCTGCAGAATCTGGCTCATCCAGATTTACAGTTTAAAAAAAAAAAAAAATCACGAGTAGATTTCTTTCTTCCTCCTCTCGTCACTGTATTCCACTCTGAAGAGAGCGAAGCTGCCAAGTCCCTGATTCAGGAAGTGTTTCTGCGCTGTTCTCGTATACAGAAAGTCACAGTGGTGGAGATTTTAATCCCAGTTGAACTAATTACCTCGGCTATAGCGGGATTAAAAAATTCTAACGATTCATCGCGGACCATTATCAGATTATCAGAGCCACTGCTCTCGCCGTTGATTTGTAAAGCAGCCACCTCCGTCAACACATCAGGACTGACGTCTGGAACCCAGGAGTCTTTAGAAGTCACGATGATGCCACCCTCTCCTGTTGGTCAGCTCGGACGACATGGGGCTAGTGTGGGCGGGACTGGGCCATCATCTTGAGCCGGGATTGGTCGATAACATCCAGCAAGTTCTTGGCATCAACAGCAAGAGCATGAGCCGCCGTCAACATCTGCTTCTTGTAGTCCTGCTGGAGGCTTGGAGCATCAATACAGAATATATGCAAGATCAGAGTTTTAATAGTTAGTGCAGTATTAATGATCATATGTGCAGACGTGACAGCATCAAGAACGTGAGCATGACACACACTCTCACTGGCCACTTTATCAGGCACATCTGTTCAACCTACTTGTTAGTGCAAATATCTAATCATCCAATCACATGACAGAAACTCAGTGCACTTAGGCTCATTAGTACCAACTGAGCATTTTTTAAATGGCATAGCCCACCTAAGTGGCAGCATAATGCACCAAGTCACAAAGCTCAGATCCAGTTTGAGATGACTTCACTGTACTCAAATGACGTTCACAATCACAGTCTTAGTCCACTTTTGTAATGTGGTAGAAAAGCAGATTCACATCATGGATGCACAGCTGACAAATCTGCAGCAGCTGTGTAATGCTGTCATGTCACTAAGGACCAAAACCTCTGAGCAATGTTTCCAGAATTAAGGTAGGTAAGATTTACCTAACAAAGTGATGCTTTTAGTTTGTGCACCTACCTGGTCATCACATATTGTTGGGCTAACTTCATCTTTGCAATCAGTTCTGCCAAGTCAGAGTTCAGCAGCTTCTGTGCCATCTCGATCTGGTGAAGAAAAGCGTAACCGTATAAAATAAAATACAAGCTGGAGCAGCTGTGTGATCAATAATGTGCTTTAACGTGATTTATTAACAATCATTAAATTGTTTAATAACATAAAGTGAATGCTTGTTAGTAAAAACAGTGTCTACCTCTCTGTGTGTACTGGCTGGAAGTTGAGGTAGAGTCTCATCTACTGTGGCCAATAATGTCCTCAGTGCCAGACCCACATCCTGAAACACACATTTTTTTTTTCACAACAGGACAGCTTACACGTGGTATCAATAATTCACATAGTTTGTTTTAAATAGTCTAAAATCTGAAATTTCTAATAGAGAAGACAGAAACGACACAGTGCTGTAGTCCCTTCTTAAGGTTAGCAGCTTGGCTAAACATTCTAGAGTTAGGGATGAACACTCCAATGTTAGCTGTACGGGCTGTTTGCCCTGCTCTTCCCTTTCTACCAACGTGAAAAAACCCTTTGGAGAAATAAAATTAAATGTATTTTTGTCAAAAAGACTCACAGGAAAACTAATTATTAAATCCCTTTGGTGAAAAGCTGCTTAGGCTATCTGCAGAGTCAGGTTAATATATGAAGCGAAAATTGTTCATGAAGGAGTAGAAGAAGTGTCGAAATTCCGTCCTTGGAAAGCTGCACCGGCCAATTAAACTGAAACAGTGCGTCACAGTGCTCAAGGACATAGCGGTTATTAAACTGCACAGAGCTGCTTTGATCTACTGTGCTGAGTTTTTAGCTCAAAGCCTGCAGCTCCACTTCAGAGAAATAACAAACTGCCGTTTGTGCCTCTGTTACCTTGACCATGGGCACGTACTCCTCGGGTGGAGCCGGCTGGATCTTGCTTGACATCTCGATCACAGCTTTGACCAATCCCGTCACGTTCTCGTACACTTTGTCGTTCGACCGATCCAGATTGGCGGTGGGAGGCGGGCTTATCTCCTGAGGCTGCAGCTAAACCACAGAAGAAGACAAAAAGCAGTGAGTGAGAGGTTCTTTGAGTGAATGTGTACCTGGGAAAGAAGTGTGGGAGACTGATGACAAAAACCAGCTGAAACAGTGTGGATGAAAAAACAAAACATTTGTTAAAACATGTACCTCCACAAATCCTGCTAGATTGTAAAGACGTTCATC